GCTCTTCCTTTCTGGACACAGAATATCAGCAACATGCAATCCTTCAGAAACTGCCCTTCAGTGAACGGCTTTCCTGCTTTGGCGATTAACTCACTCACCACGTAACTTGCCTCAACTGCAGCATCACAATCCTTCTTGGCCTTATGGAAAATACTTTGCTGAGACGTTAGTCCTTTCTGGAGCTGCGTGGCTTGTTTGTTCCTCGTGTCTCCCTGGTACTTCTCAAACTGTTCTCCGTGTTTATTCGAGTAATGACGCCTGAGATTATATTCCTATAAAACAGCAACTTTTTCCTTGCATATCAGGCAAGTAGCATTTCAATTAAACTCCTCAAAAAAATATTGCAATGTCCATCTATCTTGAAACTGTCTGTGTTCATCTTCCACTTTCCTTTTTGGTTTGGAAAGACAAATATTTGTTGTTCGCAGCCAAACAACTGATAAATCCCCGTGTAACTTGTTCTCTTCTTATCCAAAATTGCCCGGGGGCCGGCAGTTTGAGACCCCTGTATTACTGGGACCGCTACAATTATTTCAGATTAACACTTAATATCAAGGGATTTACATTATAGACACCACTGACTTTCCCTGTAACAACTAGGCCACAGATTAGCACGTCGACCATACACGGTTTAGGACAGTACACGTGCATGTGTGCACATGATCAGGATGGTACCACCTCCGCCTCATTTAAAGCCAGGAAAAACCCTGACATTATGTACATACTATACAGTATAATGAAATCACTCACTTTCTAGTTGTCATTAGTGTGCAGTGAAAATGTGAAATCACATCTTATGGATAAAATAATTACATAAAAACTTTATGGATTTCAACTTTACTATAATATCTACTATATCTTTTCTCTCCTAACATGTCATTTAGAGCAGGGGTTTACAACAACTAACTTCATAATGATTAACTAATAAATAATCTACGTAAAGCTAAGGTGGGTAATGTATTTTAGAAACATTTTTTTGTTATATTTGTTGAAATTGTCTGTCTATCTACCTGCCGGTCTACATATCACACAACCTACCTGTCTACATCCCTACCTGTCTACCTACCTGTCTATCTACCTGCCTACCTGCCTGTCTACCTACCTGTCTGTCTGTCTGTGTCCATCTACCTGCCTGTCTACCTACCAGTCTGTCTATCTATCTGTCTATCTGTCTACCTACCTGTCTACCTACCTGTCTATCTACCTGCCTGTCTACCTACCTACCAGTCTGTCTATCTATCTGTCTGTCTGTCTGTGTCCATCTACCTGCCTGTCTACCTACCTGTCTGTCTACCTGCCTGTCTACCTACCTACCTGTCTTCCTACCTGCATTCACTCATTGCTCGTCATTGGAGTTTTCCAAAAGCGGCCATATTGACAGCTGTGAGTACTAACAGCAGCCATATTGGTTGTTTACGTTCCTAATGATAATTTTGGGGGAGGGGCTTTGGAAGGAGGCCTGATGGGACGTGCTGTCAATGTTGAGGACTTGTAGACTAGATTTAGTGACTTTTAGAGCTAGTGCTGCTAGCTACTTTCATTGGAAAACAGTTGGCAGCACTGGTTTGGGTTTTTAAGTTGGATCATTTTTTAAAAATCGAGCAAACTCTTACTGGTTTCTCCAACGTTAGCGACCCATGCTTTAAATGATTGTACCAGTCAAACAGCAGAGAACTCCAGTGATCTAGTAACACTTCCACCAAGCTGGGATACTTGTGAAAGACAGATTTTAACAGCCAAAATTAATGGTGAGATATCCTGACTTTTAGTCTCTAGTACGGGGTCCAAATTGCATAACCTGCACCAGCTGCAAGGCTTTCACCATTAAGTATGTTATAAATGCAGGTTTGCCATCTCAACTAAGAACATCCAAATGAATCATCAGTTTTAATGCCTAAACATAACTAAGTATTTCACAATCTTTTCCCAAACTAAAGTAGTCTTGTTGCCTTAAACATAACTGAGTTGTTTCCTGGAAAGATGGAAGCTCATTTTGAAAAGACGTTTTGCATGTAAGGCGCTGAAATTGACACGTGCCACAGGACTTTTGTAGGAAAACAGATGAAAAATGAGGAGTAACTTTTTGTCAGATATCATACGAACCGTTGTACGAGGATACGTTGAATGATGACATATTTGGGCTTTTCCATCCTTTTAGATTCCTGCGTCTATTGCACAGCAAATGAGCGATGACCTTGCGCAGAGATGTGCTGACGCGCGACAGTTAGCGGGCCCAGGTGATTGACAATGGACACCTGTGCATGCTGGGAAACAAGATAAGCTGCAGCTCGGCCCGTTTTGTGGTTCTCAAAAACCCATGAGAGAGAGAGAGAGGGAGAGGGAGGGAGGGGAAAAAGACGGAGAGAAATTACAGAGAGATTACACGGCAGGAACAGAGCCTGACAGACAGACGGACTCACGGAGGACAGAGGGAGGACGAGAGTAATTTGCTGGAAATAAAGAGTGACAGGACAGACAGAGCCGTAGAAAAAAAAGAAGAGAGGAATTATGGGAGTCCTTCTCCTTTTACCCTCTCTCCTCATCCGTTATCAGCCATCAGGGTGCTCCATCACTCTGGATTCCCATCTTCCCTAAGACAGTTTCACTCTCCTCTCTCTGTCACTCTCTCCTCGTTCTGCTCACGGTCTGAGTCCGGCTGCAGGCGTGAAACTTACATTATTTTTTACTGCGCTGGCCTCATGGGCCCAGTCAAATGCTGTCTGTGGAGCTGTAAAATAACTCCCCACCTCTCCTTCCCTCTGACGACTTTACATGATTTAATCTGTGTGGTTATTACCATGAGACACACAGCATGTGCCCCACACACACACACACACACACACACACACACACACACACACACACACAGACTTCTACAAGGTGACCTTCAGGCTCCAGATCAGACAAACATGTGCCTAGTCTTGAGTCAAACTAGCAACTTGTCAATCAACGAGTCACGAGAGTCATTGAGCAGATGCGGCTACAGTCAATCATGTGTCTCCAAGCCACCAGGAGGGGTCCTCACTAAAAACAGCAGCCTGCTCGAGTAAGTAAACAGTTGGGATGAAGGTGTCTGCAGCAGTGTTACTCGCTCGTTTTGCTCTTTGTGTACATTTTTATTCCATTCATAAGTAGACCCATATGGTATTGCCATGGACACAGAGTAACTATAAACATGACATTTTTGGGGGAAATTTGGATCTTTATTTGTTTTATACTTTTGCTGAAGTGAGCAGAAATGGCCAACATTCACCACTGCGATGATTTACTGCTTTTCTACACTTTTCAAATCAATATTTTTTGGGGTTTTGGACTGTTCTGGACAAAACGATTTGAAGACATCATCTTAGGCTCTGAGAAAGGTTAGTAGCAGCCTTATGTGTAGTTATCTGCAGTAGCGTTACTACTGTGTTCATTTTTCTATCGTGTCGTTTTTATGATATGGTTAATATTGTTCCCTCTGATGTGAATAATATTTAAATGGTGCCCTCGAGTCTGTGGCGGAATGCGTGTTTTAGCGGTGCAGTTTTGCTTGAATGTCCAGAGGCCTGTTGAATCGAGTTATTTGGGTTTTATGTTATTCTACCTGCTTTGTTGTCATATCAATATATGTGACTGGTTCTTGTGAGTTTGTTCTTGTCATTGTGTTTACTATATTGATTTTAACTATATTGCCCGTTAATGACGAAGCATCCCGTCATTCGCGTATTCATGTATCTGCACTGCGTTTTTTTAAAGAATCTTGCTCATGTGAAACTTTATATCAAAGGTTGTGACATGCATTTGTATTATTGAATTTGTGCTCATACAAAGACAATAATGACTTTAAAACAGCTCAGTTGTTTTTTATACATGAAGATGTTGTAACTTTGTTTTCTGCTGTCATATGTTCCACCTTTTTTGCGTCGTCATCCACCAGGGACACTTGGATGATTTTGTCATCTCAGCATTCATTGGTTGAACCAATACGACAAATTCCCAAAAGTGTATGGTGCTCCTTTAGGATTCACTAAATAGCATTTCCCCAAAACATGAAATACACTACGGAGTAACAGATTAGTGGTCACAAAATCGAATCAGTCAACTGGTGGTTTAATAACAGGCGGAGAGGAGAGACAGTAAGGGATGAGCTAACAGAGTAACACATATCAGCTGATGATCAGGTGATCAACACGGCAAAATAAAAGACCCTGACATGCCCGGCTCTCGAAGAACTACACACCACAGTGTTTCTCTGTATCACGTGGAAACCCAGAGACACCAAGCTGAGCATCGATCTTCAAGGTTTTTGACGGAAAACAATTTTTGTATGACGACACGCTAAACAAAATTGAAATATGCTAGTTTGTGTTATGAAATTATACCGCCAGCATCTGAGATCAGACTTTTGACAAGTAATATGGTGTAAAATAAGAAATGTCAGCATATTAAAGTTTTTAAAGTTGTTTTTGATTCATTTGTCAAATTAAATTAATAAAAAATGTAAAAGGTTAGACAGATTCAAGTGCCGTCATTTTTAAGCAATATGCAATGATTTGCTCCGTTAAGTAAACTGTGTAGAAGTGTAAAGAAGACACCTGGAAACCCTCCACTATGCATGCATTCAAATCCACTGTTGCATCGTTCTTCGGTTTGTCCTTCTCGTCCTCCCGACCTGAAAACTAGCAGTTGACATCCTTGTGTGGATTGTCTCTATATTTGCACTAATTGCTGTATTTTTTGGGAACCAAACTGTTCCTTTTGGTGGCATTCAGCCTTGATGTCTGTCTCTACTAATGCTATGTGTAAACTCATTCTATGACTTTTTATGATTTTTCCTTATTCCCTCTCATTCATATTTATCCTGTTTTAGAAGGTCTAGCTCAACGACACGCGTATGAAAAAACTACCAAAGTATAAATCAGGGCCGTTAGTAGCTCATTACTTTCCCACGTTCCACATCGAACCTCCTGTCTGATGAAGAAAATGTACCTACAGAAAGAGACAAAATACTTCCTTACCATTGTAGGAGAGGCGAGGCTTGCTTAGACACATGATGAAGTGAACTTCCATTTCATTTGACGCCACGGACTTGGAGCAGACAGGACACTTGAATCCTAGGAAGAAATACAGAGGACAGATGAGTGAATAATCAAATAAATACCTCTTAAATAAATGAATAACGATCATAAATGTATGATATAATGTTAATATAATAATAAAAGCTGCATCATGATGTGATTTTAACCCAGTTGACAGCCTATAACATCATTACAAAGCATATACATATATATATATATATACATATATATATATAAGGGCTTGAGATTAAAATGGTGGTACACATTTATCTTCTAAGACAATGATGTAATGTCTAGGAGCCCTGGTGATAAATCACCCATCAGTAGACTGAGTAGAAGTGATGCTGTTTTTTCTCCAGGGCCGGTGGATCCCATCTAATGACAAACCATGACAAAGTAGGCGTGGATGCTGTGATATAAAGCACGGTTCGGCCCGGACGAAACATTCCTCTTTGAGTCTCCAACAAAGTCACGGTAGGGTCAGATGCTGGAATGCGAAGCTATTTAACACCAGTGATGTTTTACATTTCATCATTATGACTTTAAAAGCAGCTAAAAGGCTCTGGCGCTAACATCTAAAAAAAGTGTGAACCAAAACTCTAAAGACAACTAATGAAATGTGGATTGAGGCATTGAATATTTTTTTTTCCCATTATTCTGAAACAGCTATTAAATCAGTAAGGATTGTAGCTGCTGCACTTTATACAAGCAAATGTTAAGTGAAGCAAGATCTAAAGGTCGGCACGATAATATGACATGAACACAGGCAACACAACATAAATGAAAGATGCCACTGTGACAAGGATCTTCTTCTGAATGGAAAACATTGCCCTTCAATATGGTGTGTGGTTGTGTTTGCATTTATCTTTTTACAGCTACTTTTCTGGGTTGTACTGTAACCTGTGAGTACAACCCATTAAGTTAACTGGTGACTTTCAGCCGAATGCATCCATGGTTGCTCGTAGCAATTTAGTAACGTACGAGGAAACCTACATATTCGGTTGGTATTTTCAACAGCTGCCGTCGAGCAACCACGACGCATTCGGCTGACAGTCAGCAGTTAAACACCATTAACCAGTTAGCTCGCAAGCTGAAGTTTGCCACTACTGTTGGAGGAGCTGTGATCTGCGCAGGTTCTAACCAGACTCCTAGACATTGTTGTCAAAATTTACATTACATAGAAAGTAAAGGTAGATGTAGAAAATTGCACACTTTTTAGGACAGCTTGCATTCAAATGCCATGTGACCATGACAACAAAACTCACCAAACTTTAAGGTAACTAACTAAAGATGTTGTTGTGCCTCAACCTAACCCAACCTTAACCATAGCATTGTCATATCATATGATCCCATATTATCAGTGAATTGTAACGGTTTTGGAAGGCACAGAGAAACAATGTTGTCCTGCCGATAGCGGCAACAAAAGTCATCGAACTTTAAGGTAATTAACTAACTAAGATGTTTTCTTCCCTCTCACCAACCCATTCTCACTCCCAATTCGTCAAATACCAATGCTTTGTCGTGCCCATCGGCGTCTGATACCATCGCACCGAAGCAGCCTTTAGCGTCTGTATGAGGTGGACCGGGCTTTCCAGTAACTCCAAGGTAAACCCAACGGATGTGAGCAAGAAAGTCAACATAGGACAGGTAAAACAAACACAGGACTTTCACCCAGGAGAGCACCGCCCGTGCCGTTCGTGTGAAACCAAGTCAACGTTGACTTGTATAACTCTGGTTTTGTTACGTAAATTGCATACTTAACTAACGTCAGTTACGTAACATACGCACTTATTTTTCGTAATAAACCTTAATCTTACAACACAAACCACCTAAACCTCACTATGAAATTTTAAAGAAGTAAGTAAACCTACAATGAAAGTTTATTTTGAAAAGACACTATGCAAGTAACGAGGTAACTATCATGTCATCCCTGAAAAAAACTAAACTAAACAAAACTGACACTAGAGGGGAACCTAGAGCGTCATAGTTTAAAGCTTACGGCCACTGACAAAGCGTGTGTGTTTAGACGAGTTGGGAGTGAGAATATGTTGCCCCCACACATTTACACACACTACCTTGGTTGGTCTGTTTTGATGGGACCCATTAGGCCTAACTATATTAGTTTAACACATAACAGATAATTACATCAACCACTGGTCCCCATGAGCCGAGTTTGCACACAGCTGAAAACAGACCCGACTGCTCTGCGATCAAGACTTTTGATCAAAACAACAGCAGTCCTTGACTCTAAGCAGAGGTCAAGGATCAGTCCGATTGGGAGAGCAGGTCATATATATACTTGCAAAGTTATGATACCATCAAGCTGGGAAAAAAGTTTTCAGCCAACCACCTACACCCCTTGCCTCCTCTTCACCTCTCCCAACCGACCTCCCACCAGCACTGAGGATCTGCGAAGAGGATGTGAGTCGTCTCTTTCACAGACAGAACATCAGGAAGGCACCAGGCCCAGACGGTGTGTCCGCCTCCTGCCTGAAAGTCTGTGCTGACCAGCTGGCCCCCATCTTCACACAGATCTTCAACCAATCATTGGAGCTGTGTGAAGTCCCCTCCTGCTTCAAACGCTCCACGATCATCCCGGTACCCAAGAAATCCTCCATCACAGGAATAGATGACTACAGGCATGTTGCCCTGACGTCTGTGTTCATGAAATCCTTTGAGAGACTGGTGTTGACCCACCTGAAGGACATCACAGGGCCCCTGCTGGACCCCCTGCAGTTTGCCTACCGTGCAAACAGGTCGGTGGATGATGCAGTCAACATGGGACTGCACTACATGCTGCAACACCTCGACTCCCCAGGGACATATGCAAGGGTTCTGTTTGTGGACTTCAGCTCTGCGTTCAACACCATCATCCATCATCCCAGCAATACTCCAAACCAATTTCTCCCAGCTCACTGTGCTAGCCTCCACCTGTCAGTGGATCACAAACTTCCTGACTGACAGGACGCAGCAGGTGAGGCTGGGAAAAATCCCATCCAGCACCCAGACTATCAGCACTGGCGCCCCCCAGGGATCTGTGCTCTCCCCACTGCTCTTCTCCCTCTACACAAACGACTGCACCTCAGAGGACCACACTGTTAAACTCCTGAAGTTCGCAGACAATACAACGGTCATCGGCCTCATCAGAGACGGTGACGAATCTGCGTACAGACGGGAGGTGGAACAGCTGGTCCCCTGGAGCTAAACTAGCTCAAAACTGTGGAGGTGACAGTGGACTTCAGGAGGAGTCCTCCAACACTGCCCCCCCCTCACCATACTCAACAGCACTGTGTCTGCGGTGGAGACCTTCCGGTTTCTGGGATCCACAATCTCCCAGGACCTGAAGTGGGCCTCCAACATCGACACATTTAGGAAAAAGGCCCAGCAGAGGTTGTACTTCCTGCGCCAGCTCAGGAAGTTCAACCTGCCTCAGGAGCTGCTGATTATTTTTTACTCCACCATCATCCAGTCTGGTCTCTGTTCTTCCATAACTGTCTGGTTTGGATCGGCCACCAAACAGGACAGAAACAGACTACAAAGGATTATCAGGTCTGCAGAGCGAATCATTGGTTCCAGCCTGCCCTCCATCCTGGACTTGTTCACCTCCAGAGTCAGGAAACGGGCAGGAAAGATCACTGCAGACCCTTCACACCCTGGACACAAGCTGTTCCAACTCCTCCCCTCTGGTAGGTGCTACAGAGCTCTGTATGCCAAAACCACCAGACACAGGAACAGCTTCTTTCCACTGCCTGTCACGCTCATGAACAATTAATCAGTCAAACTGCACTATTACCTACATTCTGCACTATCACCTTCATTCTATTGACACTGTTGTTGTATTGTTGTATAGGGTTATGGTCATTCATATATATATATATATATACACACTTTTGGATAGATATTTATATTGTACATAGTAGTTAAATGTTTGTGCTTACCTCTGTTCTACATTTTTTGTTTTTTTTGTTGTCCTTGTTTTTTGTTTTTTATATATTACAATTTTTTTGATTGTTAAATAAAAACACTACATCAGTGGTGTATTATTTGTCCATGTTTTAATTGTTTAACTGTCTGCAAACACAATCAGCTGTTTGTCTAAGAAATATTGTACAAATATGAATTTAAAAAAGCTTCAGAATCAGAGATAAGGAGGTTCGGCAGTTTTACAATTTGTCAGGTTACACACACGGACAATTTCCCAATACACAGAACACCCCCCCTCCACATGGCACCTGACCCACTTTTCCTTTGGCTGCTATTTTCAGATGCTCCATATGGAGGAGTAGGAAGAGAGATGAGGAAAAAAGAGGTGCAGAAGGACGGTGAGAGAGTCCATGAGGAGGAATGAAGGGTTATGATACATGGTCCAGCAGGACTCTAGCCATGCAGTCAGGGAGATGTGTGTGCGTGTGTGTGTGTGTGTGTGCGTGTGTGTGTGTGTGTGTGTGTGTGAATTTGCCTTTCGACTCAGCCAAGCACCACAAATCCTTGAGGACTTTTCATATCCAAGGAGCGCTTAAGGTCAGATAGGGATGAAAATAAATGAAAGGACTGGATCATAAATTAATTATAGCGGTGCCTATGTGAAAGTGTGGATGTGTGTGTGTTTGAGCAACTTGTGCCAGAATTCCTGCACCGCACAATACTGTGCAGATCTGGTTTATGTCGAATTGGCACATTTCTCTCAAATGTGTTTCTTGACTGTCATCGCTGTGGACGTCAGTACTTTAATAATCACCAGCGACGGGACGCTCTCTACCAGATGACACAGAGGAGAGCCCTTACTGACTGCTGCTGAGGAGACGTATTTAATGTTAAATTCTGAAGTACGTGTCTGCATCTTGATCAATATGTTGAGATGAAAAAGGGAAATTGGATTTATGGTTTTTTGTGGTGCTATTTGTCATGTAGGGCTAATAAAATTAGTTTGTTTTTTAATACAAATCTTACCTCTTGCAGTTCTAAATAATCTTTGTAAAAGGCCAGTGGATAGAGTGGATACTTTGATAAACTAAATGTCATTATGTTATAGATTT